AAAATGGGCACACCGCTTTTACAAGCTATTTAAAAGCGAAGGAAAGCGAGGAAAAGAGGGAACGCCCCGCCCCCACGGTGATACCGGTATTACCGGTGTTGTCACACGTCGATTAACCGGTGGGAAAATTTCCTCACCGTCACAACCCTATCGCTCACAAAAACTTTTGCATTTCACAGAGGAACTTTTGCATTTACTCGTGACACTTTTGTGTTTGCTCAAAAAAACAAAAAAAATTGCAATAACTGTGTGCAAATTTTTTTTTATTAAAAAAAAAAAGTTATAGAAAGAAAAATTATATTTCAGTGTGTTTGTGAGTGAACACAAAGCTTCTCGGGAAAAAGCATTAGTTTTGCAAGGGAACGCAAAAGCATTGAAATTTAATTTTTCCCTCTCATCATATTTTTTCCTACTATCATGTCTCCTTTAGGGGCTCCATAGTTTCCAGCCCTCCACACTGAAAAAAGACAAGAACCCTATGTCTTGAGTAATAAATTAACACAAAGCACTCTATTTTACATGTCTAGGATAAAAAGTCTCTGCCTCCGTTGATTAAGTAAACAATCAAAACACATTTTGTACACATTTTATGAAAAAGTAAGCTCACAAATGTAGAGGAATGAACGATAAACAACTGATTCTTACATCCATCACGAGGGTAAGAGGGCTGTAGGCCAGTAGGAAGATACCTTCGGTCACAGCGAAAATAAATAGAGTTTCTATTAAAACTTGACTAAAATGATCAGTAAGACTAAAAGGCACTAGTTGACTTGGTTTCACTACCTTGCTGTCGAATATAGCCTCAAAATACCGAACCAAACCTCATCCCGAAAGAAACAGACAGCAAGATATGGCGAAGTTCAGTGGATATCTCTTATCTTCGCTCTTGAAAACGCACATGATGCAAAAAACACAAGGACGTCGATGCAATTTGAATTACCTATGGCTTTATAACGTGTGTGAGAGGGCAAGTACGATGGAAAACGATCTGCTCCGGTCTCCTCACAGAGGAAATATGGTCCTTCTGTGTCTCTGAGGTTCAGAGACGTGTCCATAGCATCAAGGACAGAGAGAGAGAACAGGGGCAGCATGCAGAATCCCGAGAAGAGATGGAAGAGGAGAGAAGGCTGTGGAGAAACACATGAAGCTCCAGCAAATTCCTGGAGGACAGGAACTCTCCAGCCACAGGGGTTTTGTGTCCATAGCTCTTGTCCACTGTTAAAGCAGGTCCAGAAAATTACGTCTCAGTGGCGCTTTGGGGTTGGATGAAGATTACTTGAGATGGTTTGCTATTTCTACATTCTGTTTCTTAATGACGGGAAGAGGATGGGCCTCCGTGTTGAACACCCAGTGTTCGAAGGGCAAATGGTCATCGTCAGAGAACAAAAGATACAGATACCTGAAAAAAGAAAGAAAGAAAAAAAGATGTTTCAAGGGCATTTTATAATATAGTTAATCACAGTGAGATTGCCTGTAAGAGATTTGGAAAACATGATTATGTACATAAATTAGAAGCATAAACATCAAGGTTATGAGAGGCAAATAATTATCACTAGACTCTTAGTACAGCTAAATTCCACCAATTAAATAGATTTTAATTTCTTTTCACAATATGAGTGGTCAGGGTTCAACCAACTCAGTGTAGTTTTATGGGGTTTTAGTTTAGCAACGTCACATGAGCAAGAGTGCTTTTCTTCTCAAATATCTGCACGATTCGGCCCTATGTTTACACGACAACAATGTAGTCAAAAATGGAAGTTTTTCCCTTGCTTTTTAAAAAAGTTTCACGCTTAAGACGACAACGTTTTCAAAACGATTCGTGTTTACACATATTGGCGAAAACGGGGCTGAATGTAGACGGTGCATGAGAAGGCGTTTGCCATTCTGTTACTAACAATATGCTATAATACTTTTTCATATACCTTTTACTAACTTTATTTACAAGTTCTGTCAAATTTACAATAATAATTAAAAAAATATATATTGTAAAAAAAATACAAATATCAGCTGATATATTGGTTCACCACTATTTTCAGGCAATTTGTTTTGGACCCCATTGTATGAAAAAAAACAAAACCCATTGAGATTCTTTGAAATACCTTCTTTTCCACAGAAGAAAGAAAGTCATACAGGTTTGGAAGGCATGCGGGAGAGTAAATGATAATCGAATTTCATTTTTGTGTGTTTAGTAGTGGCTCAGCATGTGGAGCAGATGTCGTGGGCTGAAGTGAGCATGTTAAAGAGCACAGTCATGCCCACAAACACATTGAGAGCATTTCTATGAACAGGAAACTCTGATCCCTCAACCCGCCAGACAGTCTGGCTCTAAAGAAGAATCATTACTTAATACGCACTTACTGTGCAAAAGCGGCAAATGCAAACCAGAAGCAACAACAGAATGAGAAACAACCAGAGTGGCAAAAGTTGAAAGCAGGGGTTTCTGGATGCGCTCTCTCTCTCTCAAAGAATTGCTAAGTCTTTTCTGTGCTCAATTGTGTGCACTGCACTCCTCCTGGCCAAAGGGCAAGCACTCCTCCAGAGTATTAAAGGCAGGAGAAATGGAGAGCCGCTGTCTGGCGTGGCAGGATCAGACTCGAACAGTGATTTCCTCTTAAAACGCAATCAAATGGGAGGACTGGAGAGCTGGAATACAGGATACAGGATACAGGAGAGCATAGCGACCTCGCTGACTCCACAGCTCTTCAGTTTGGGCCCTGACAAAGTAATTGATTCTTTCTTTATTCATTCCTTTCATTTATCTGTGTCTTTAATGATTAATGTTGTGTGATAGGGATGTCTGTGAATGAGTTCCAGCTGTCACAGTCTTGTGTCTCAATCATTTCATCTAGATGATTCTCGCTTTGACAGAGAAATGGCTCAATTCATGCATTCTGAGTGAAGAGCTTTCCTCTCCTTTAGTCAGTCACTGCAGAATCACAATATCATCTCAGTCTCTTACAACATGCATATATATTGCAAACCAAAGGGCAAGAGGTTTGTGAAAATCAGAAGCTCCAATTTGACTGGCTCGCTGATGTGACTCAATCTCAGTGCTCTGAGATATAAAGATGAGTTTACAAGCTTATTTTACCCTAAAATCAAAGGACATAGCCTACATAACATTTTGCATAAAGAAAATGAAGACCATTAATCATATGTTGTCTTGCATTGTAACATTATTTTTATGACTATTAAGCACAGTTTCCCAAATTCTCATACTTTCCCCCCTCATTATTCTGACTGATGACTCTCATTAATATAATACAATTTTACAAATTACAATAATAGCCACAGTACATAGAGTTTCTTTCTTTCTTTTCCAGTAATATTTAATGTTGGGAGAAATGAGCTTAATGCCAATAACACCATGCCAGCTTCTATGGCTATATTTATGGCAAAAGGCAGGTTTTGTTATTCAAGAATAAAACAAAAAATGTTTAAAATTCATTTTTCTAAAAACCCCTTTAGGTTTACTTGTTTAAAAACTTTTTTAAAAGTGTCAACAGAATAAAAGTTCCTCAAAGGGAAAGCTAGTATTACAGTCATAGTATTACAGTCTAGTAAAATATGCTTGATTGATAGTGGACTTTGACAAGATTAATACTTAAGGAAATTTTATCCTATTTAAATTTAAATGTAAGTCTTGAGTGTGCTATCCGGGATCGTATGTAAATAACTTGATACCAGGAATTACTAAAAGGGAATACATATCTTGTCCCAACCTCCCAAAAATTATTATTACTATAATGTAAAAAAAACCAACAACTATGTACAAGTGTAATGAATATGTTTGTTTGTGTGCTCTGTACTCACTTGAGTGTTTCGGCCAGGTAGAAGCTCTGCTGCACGTCATCATGGTTGGGAGTGTTAGCGTAGACGTCTCTCACTCCACTGTAACCCCCTTCCACCCTGCAGTACTTCTCCAGAGCCTGATATTCAGAGATACAAATGTACCTGTCAGTATCAATGTAATAGCTTTACACATTCCTAGCAAGTGTCATGTAGCCTACTTTTCATTTTCAGAGACAGGACACCGATGCAAAGGTGCTTACTGGACCAAGTCAAAAGACCCCATCCCAGAAGCATAAGGCCCTCGAGATTTCCTTAAGAGTTTACCTTCAACCTGTATTTGTCGCCTATAGTAAATATGAAGGTCTTAATTAGGTTGTTTAGCTTATGTTTGATTAGGGTGAGAGCTGCCCACTCTTGCTTTAGGATATTCTAGTCTATATATAAATGTCTTGGGTTCCCCCTTAGCCTTTATGATTTTCAGCTCTTTTAAATGTATTTATTTATTTATTTATTTTTAAGTAAATGGTAAGTCCAAACACACCGAAAATTAATAGCACAGATCACCTCAAGTAGTCTCATGATTGAAGACAGCTAAAACTGTGTGAGACAATTTATGTGCTAAAGTTTAATACTCAAGGTTTAGGAATTTGTTTGAATACCAAACCCTAAATATGAGCACCATGACATGACATTATGACATATATATTTATTTATTTGAAAAAAGTTATATATACATAAAAAAATAAAATAAAAAAAATGCTAATATTTTGAACTTTCTATTGAACAAAGAATAGTTTCCACAAAAACTATCAGGTAGCAAAACTTATAAATTATAGTTATAAAAAATATATATTTAAAATTATAGTTATAAAAACAGCTATTTGAGCTATATATATATATATATATATATATATATATATATATATATATATATATATATATATATATATATATATATAAATGGTGAGCATAAGAGACAAACGTTTAAAAAATATATGTTTTAAATCAAACATCAAGATTTAATAGAAAAAAGCTATTTGATTTGTTTATAATTAGCCTCATAAAATCTAACAGTCTAACAGTAATGGGACTTGTGTCTCTAATGGGACAGCAATTTGTGCACTATTTGTGAAAAGTGCCATTATATTCAATATTATCAGTGTTGTGGTCATGTGTAGAGTGTGAAAAAAGGACCTTGTAAGATAATGAAGATTTGATAAAGTAGTTTTGGAGCAAAGAATCAAGCTTTTCATTGAGTGAGTGTTGAGCCAGCACATTTTTCTGAGAGAGGAATAGATGGCGGAGGGTGAGCGAGGGAGGAAGAGATGTGATGTATCGCCTGAAGGGATAGACACATCACAATGGCAATCTGAAGTCATTATGATACAATTACAAGGCTGTGAGATCCTGGCGGTCTCCATTGTCTCTAATCCTGCTGTGCTGAAGTGCAGGGAGCGTCTGAGGGCAGGGATATAGCTGTGATTCACAGTCTGGCCTACATCCTGGGCCTAATGTGGCGACGTGTTTACCAGTCACAAACTGGTGGCGTTACGTAATTAGTGATGCGACAGTTCTCACCTGCACTGCCTCCCAGCCCCACTGTCTGTATTTGGGGTCGTGGGTGAACCTCCACATGTACATGTAGGTCTCAATGACCTCTGGCCTCAGGATGAAGTACTTCTCGTTTTGCCGTGTGGCGATGGCTTCTACGCCGCCGTCGAAACGGAAGGCCTCGGGACCCAGCTTCATACCTGAAACACACATGCTGTCAAATTCATCGCTTAAACATTCATGTTGACAAGGGATTATGGGATTACATTGTTCCTGAGATGAAGAGAAACACTGGATGTGGTGGATTAGAGGCTGGGGCATAATCTGGACCTTTGATAATCTGCGGCCGCTAAAAATACCTAGGCATTATGAGCAGGCCGGTGATGACTGTGTATGTGTGTGTTTAACAAGAGATTTGAGTGTGTGTGTGCATGTGTGTGTGTGTTCAGGGTTAACGGCAATGGATTTAGGGAGTCTCTACATTGTCCATGTGACTATTATTGACAGAATAGTTCACTTTCGGGTGAGCACTTTATAATTCTCACTGGGATCTGTATTATATCATACTGGCACTGAACAGAGTCAGCAAAACAAACAACTTGTCTAGTAAAGTAACCAATCACAGCACAGACGTGCAAAAACACATTACATACTCCACAGGCATGTCGGACAAACAGAAAAATGTTCTGCAAAAACAGCTTATAAAACTATAATTCAAATATTTACGAATTTAAGTACATTATTTTGCTTTCATTTTACAATTGTCCCAAAAAAATTCATTACTTTAATATTTATAGAAGTAAATAAGATTGAATTGTATTGTGTTATTGCCTATAATGATAAATCACTCACTTGTTCGCCTTATTGTTAGTCTTTTTTTTGCATAAAATCTGCTGCTAAACTAATAAATGAAAATAAATAAATAAATAAACAAAATTACCAGAAATCATCTCGATATATCTGCATCATTTTTATGTTTTTCCTTCAAGTGCTTTTGATTTACTTTTGTAATTCTCATTATTCTCAATACCATTCTTATTACTGTTACACAGCAATTTACATAAACAAACAATATATTAAAATCAGTAAATAATTTACAATTGAAATACTTTACAATAATAAATAAAAATAAAGAAAGAAATAAATTCATACATTTATAAATAAATTGAATAAACAAATTTTATATATATATATATATAACTGAATCTGAATTGGATGCAAGGGGTGAAAAATAGAAAATAAAATGGTACAAAAATAGGCTTCTTTATACAAAACAATTTTTTTCAGAGAGCACTGTAATTTTCTAACTAGAACTAGAAAATGTATTAACACACAGATTAAAAACTTATATATTAATTTAAATTCATTTAATTTACTTTTACATTTGTTTATTTATTGCTAGAAATGTTTAACATTTTTCTTTCAACATTTTCAAAGCAGTTCTCCCACTCACTTGTCCGGGCATAAGACTCATGACACGTGCGGGCGATCTCAGCCGCCAGTTCCATCTGGTGACCCGTCTTATCATCGGGGCCTCCGTCCGCCCCTAAAGCGATCATACCACCGGCGAAGCAGGTCAGGTGACCCATCTTATGCTCCAGGAGTCCGCCTTTCCATTCAGCGATATACGTCAACCCTCCGCTTGACTTACGGATCAAATTCTTCTCAATCGCCTGCACACAGAACAGAGAATGAAAACAAGAGATCACTTTAAATGGTTTTTAATGGCAATTTCTTCTCTCAGTGGTTATTCATACTGTGTGGGTTAAAAGGAACTTTGTCCTTGTTTGCATTTGTTTTGTTTGCCTAACACAAAGGGAGACATTCAAGGCTTTGGAGTGATTTCATTCTCTCAAAAGCGTCATCTGAACAGTTCACGGCTCGAAGTAAGTTAGATCATAGCAGAGATCAGGGTCACAGCTGTGTGTGCCAGTGTTGTGTATTTACAGAAGCGTCGCACACATGGGAAATGAGATTCTTATCTGCCTGGGAAAAAAAGCCTCTGTGCATTTGAATGGAAACTGGAGACATTCATCACCATGGTACCAAAGTAAAGAGAATAAGTATAGTGCTTGATGCTCTTTTTTTCTTACATCACTCTCTTTGTTCTTCTATTTCATTATAAATATGGCACCAGTGTTGTGGAGAAACTAAAAATAGTTACAGCACGAGCATAACAATTTTTTTTCATTATCTTGACTGAATATAATAATGCACTGATGTAGGCAACAAGTAGCAGCATAGATGCTTGTTTTGTCTAATTTTATTACAGAGTAAGATGAGAAAATAATCAAACATCTTGTACTCTCTGATTCAAGCATTAGATTCTGGATCTTGTATCACTCTGAAGAGTTTATACTGCGATCGTGACCGACTGTTCATTATCCTGTGTATTACTACTGTGCCAACGTACATATCAATGGACATAAAATATTGATTTGAGTTCTAATTATTTTATTAACCAAAAGAAAAAAAGTGTGGAGTGATGCATGAAACCACAGCTACTGAAAAACTACTCTCCTGCCACAGAACAGGGAAACATAAATCACTACAGTAAGGTATTTTCATCAAAACTAAGCCTTAAAGTCCAGGATCACCTCAAATATTCTGCATAAAAAGAATTTGAAGAACTAAAAAAGTAATGAAAGTAAAAATGATTGATTGAAATCAGTGCTGTTATTGTTAAACTAAAGCTATTAAAATCATTTTTGTAACTAAATTAAAACTTTTGAAATTAAATGAAATTAAAACAATTTCAAAATATAGTAATACATACTACAGCAGTATATAAATAATACAACATTTATATATAAATAATTTAAATAATATATAATTAATATTTTTAAATGGTTTAAATAATATTTATCAAATGTAAAATAAAAATAAAATAAAAATGTTTTCAAGGAAAGTCAAATAAGAAATCAGTTGCCTGAATGCCAGTTTGCAGCTCAGAAAGCCAGTTGCAAAGCAGCTTCCCCAACACTGTTTGCAACAAAAATTGCTCTAATAAACAGAACTCAATCTGCTGCGATACGTCAACGGTCTTTGCCGTAATGTCTTTATTTTTCCCCAATGGTGCAAATAATCGAATGCTACAACTGAGAGTTGTGGATGAAAGGAGATGATTGAGCGGCCTTTCCATGGTTAGTGAGATAAATTAGTGTAAATCAAGCTGTACATAGAGAGAGCGTAAAAGGCCTGATAAAGAGCTCTCTGTAGCTGTAATGAATGCCTGGGTAGAATGGTGGACAGAACGGCCGTTCTCTGAAGGTGACCGACATAACGCACTTTTCTTTTCCTGGATGATTGGCCTGGAGTCCAAAGTGCAAAGCAGCTTCCCCAACACTGTTTGCAACAAAAATTGCTCTAATAAACAGAACTCAATCTGCTGCGATACGTCAACGGTCTTTGCCGTAATGTCTTTATTTTTCCCCAATGGTGCAAATAATCGAATGCTACAACTGAGAGTTGTGGATGAAAGGAGATGATTGAGCGGCCTTTCCATGGTTAGTGAGATAAATTAGTGTAAATCAAGCTGTACATAGAGAGAGAGTAAAAGGCCTGATAAAGAGCTCTCTGTAGCTGTAATGAATGCCTGGGTAGAATGGTGGACAGAACGGCCGTTCTCTGAAGGTGACCGACATAACGCACTTTTCTTTTCCTGGATGATTGGCCTGGAGTCCAAAGTGTGTGTGTGTGTGTGTGTGTTCGAGTCACTCCAGGGAGGCACCCAGACAGACGGCCAGAGGGACAGCATTATCTTAGGCAGGTTGAGATGGTCCTCTCTAATGAAAGTGAGGATTGAGTTTGTGGTCTGTAACAATCAGTCTGCAGCAGCTTTCCAAAGCTCTCACGGACGGCTCCAGCAGAACAACGCTGGTGGCAGCTTACACACACACACACACACACACACACACGTACACGTACACACACACTCACACACACGTACACACACACTCACATAAACTTTACTTTTCTACATTTGGACACTATGAAAAGGAATTCCAACTCACAACCTTAAAACCCACAGAGGATCAATTTCTAGCTCAAGCTTGAACAACAGACCAAAAATTGCAAACACTTTCAATATTCACATCGGAAAAACTGGCCTCGAAAAACATACAAACCTACAGAACAACCATTTCCGTTATTCTAGTTAATAAACTTTAGTCTGACTAGATGTTAAAATTAATTTGTGAATGATAAATAAGCTGTGAGGTTAAAAATTAATTCTCTACAAATTCATTCATATTGTGCACCTTATTGTGGAAATAAAAAAGGAAAAGAAAACCCTTGAGAATTGAATTTGAATTGGCAAACAGAGTACAGAATTGCAATTTAATTTTGAATTTAATGGTGTATAACTAAAAAATAACAAACCTTACAGTTTTAACAGTATATTTCATTTTTAGTATGAATTTCCCATAAATATATTATCATACAACAAATGGAGTATTTCCAGAAACATTCTAAATGATTATTATATACACAATCAATGTTTGAATCGACAACTATAGTATTATATATTAGCAATATAATTAAATAAATAGCATTTTTTTTTGCATTATATTTAATAAAATAACTTTGATTTTATGGTAATCTTCTAGGTTGTACTACTTTACTCTTTAAAACAGCCAAACTTCAATGTGTATTCACCAGACTTACTTATTTTTTTTTTTACATTTATTTTAGTTATCTGAAAATAATGTGTGAAAATTTAAATTAGTGATTAATTTGTGTATTAATTGTTTTGACAATACTGGACTCAGTTTAGAATAACGGTCAAACCTAAAAAAATATATTCTACAATTCAGGAAATAAATAGGCATAATTAGTCAAAACTAATTACGTAATTATGTTTTATTTGTCTAATATATGTCCTATCTCCGAATGAACTGCAATTTAGTAAATTCCACTTGTCATTTCAATTCAACATCCTGCGGGATGTGGACACATCAAACTAGAATTCACATTCATGAACTGAAAGGCACCCAAATCTCAAATTCACAATTTCACTCAACCCTGGTATCAACTTGAGACTGTGTTGGTACTGAGTTCCTATTGGACACTGAAGTAGTCTGTATCCTCACTATTTTGCAGACACAAGTCACTTTAGTTTGCAGGTCTCCTCCAAAAACAAGGATGTCAAGGATGCTCTTGTCTAGTCAGCATTTGATCAAATGGCCAGTAGAGTGTAACATTTCTCTGGGCTTTTTCTCTCTCTGTAACATTGGACTTTACCTGCAGGGCATCGTAGTAAAGCTTCTTTCCCTCCTCGTCAGTTTTGTCTGACATGAGCCAGGCCTTCAGCAGGTACTCGTAGAAACTGTCCCCCAAGCCTCCAACCGAGACATGATCTGCAACACAGCGAAAACAGCAGAGTGTGTGAAAAAACTCTTCCTACATTCATGTGCCAGCACAATAGTCTGCTTTAAACAGAATAACACAATTTATGGAGCACATACCACACAAACAATCACGCAGTACGAGAGATTTAGAGAGACGCTCTCATCTCAGCGATTTTTACAGTATGGTAACAAATGCTGGAATTGAATTTGTGCAAATGTCAAAAAGCGAACCTGGAGTGCTTCACATTCACAACACATGTCAAAAGAGCAGCAGTAGTAATCAGAGAACATTATTGCTTAAAGCAATGCCAACACTGAAAGACATTTTATTACAAAAATATACTTAAATGAGTTCTAAATGAATAAAAGAATACAAACAAATCTTCATACAGAAAGCGAAATGTAGTACATTTTTTCTACTGTAACTGTGCACATTCATTTAAATGAGATTTTAGTATCTAAACCTACAAAGTTTGGGTTACATGATATTTAACCACTAAGATCCCATATAAGCATTCATTTGATATCTGAACTATGTGCTGTGTATGTTTTATCTAGTAAAATCGGTCAGTCAGGTCTGTGTGCGTAAGGAGAAATGAAACGTGTGTGTGTGTGTGTTTCCAGGTGGCGTGTGAATGGGGCAGTGCGTTCAGTGCTGTCCGGTCCACTGTGTGTGAGAGATGAGAATTTGTGGCTCGAGGAGCAGCACTGTTGTGTGATTGTCTGATTGATGATCAAGCTCATGAATATTTATACATCATTAAGCACTTGTTTTTGTGATAGATACGCCAAGAGAAATCAAGTGTCAGTTCAGACAACCGTAAAAAATAAATAAACTGCCATGCTACCATTCAGAGAAAATGCACAGAAAGGAAAAACAAGCATTTTGCTTTAGTTTAAAGTCTTATTTCAAATGTCAAAGGGGCTTTTATGCTACCCATTTTGTCTGTTAGCAGTAGCACTCAGCTACATTTCTGTATTAGGCAAATTTTTGTTAATCTTCCTCTGGGATACTCAAATTATGCAGCTCATGGGTCAAAATGTGCACCAGGGACCATTGAATAAAATGTCCTGCTAATAGCCGATCCTTGACTTTCATATGGTTTTAAAGCATGCAGTAACCAACAATTACAGCTACATGTGCTACATCAGCCTTGTATTTATATCCAACCATAAGTGCTGGTCAGAGCCTTTTCATTTCCCAGAACAATGCAGTCAAAGTGAATTAACAAAAAAATGAAAATGAAAAGAAAATTTTCATACAAATGCATTAATCTTCTTAGAAATCTTCTTACAACTTCAAAAGCACTGTCAGTTTGTTAATGGTTTATCTTTAAATGTCTTCAGCCTTCACAAATATATCACGACTTAATATTCAAGAAACTTTCACCGATAATTCCCCTGTAATGGCACCATCTCATTCTAATTGGATGCATCAGTTGTTACAATTTATACATTTTATTTAATTTTAGGTTACTAAATGAAACGCACACATTTGAACATGCTGTAAAAGGTCTGTCCTTTTGAACCAATCATGATGACAGTATTTGCATATTCTAATTCTCTGCTTCACAATTATTAAAATGAAATAAGACAATGAATTTAGAAACCTTCTGTGAATGAATATGGTTATAAATTAAAAGTACATTTAAAAGGCTGAGGTCAGTAAGATTGAGAGAAGTCTCTTACAGTCACCATGGCTGTATTCATATGATCAAAAATGCAGTAAAAACAATAATATTATGAAATATTATTAACATTTAAAAAGAAATGTATTCTATTTTATTAAATTTTTCAAATGTAATTTATTCCTATGATGGCAAAGCTGAATTTTCAGCAGCCATTTCTCCAGTCTTTAGTGTCACATGACCCTTTAGTTTTTTGATTTGATAATTAACAATATTTATTTGAAATATTCTTTTTTGTAGCAATATAAAAGCCTTTATTTCACTTCAATGTATCCCTGCAAAAAAATAAAAATAATACTGACCACACTTTTCAATGGTAGTGTAATTTAAATAAAAATGCATTAAAAATACAATGTTAAAATAAATGTTTTTTTATTGCAGTGCTTATAATGGGAGAGGTCTTTTCATTCTTTTGCAGTGCAGACTCAGAAGCAGCGATTGAAATCATGAAAAAAAAAAAAAGTCTTAAAAAGACTTTAGCAGGAGGTCATTGATAAACTCGTGGCAGACTGGATTTGCCCGCAGGCCACACTTTGAGCACCTCTGCACTAACGGATTTAACTTCTGAGTCACATAAGATGACTTTCCCCCACTGTCGAAATAACAGTTCACACACACCACACAGAAACTCCAAATTTCGCCCGTGTTGGTGGTAAGAGGGCTTCATTGTGCAAAGGACCCGTGAGGTCTTCTGTTGGTAAAAGCTTGACAGCAGGAAACAGGAGTTTTGCTGTCAGCTCTGGCAGTGCTTCCTGAGAAAAACCTGAAGACCAGCTGAGCTTTTTACCCAACAGACACTGGGAAAATGTGAAGCCTTTCTGTGCAGCACTAAAGCACACAGAGCAGCCATGAAACAGACCTCATGCATGTCGGATGCTCATAGCCCCACATTTCATCCATAGTCACAACACAGTAAGTCCTCACCAAAAGCAAAATTCAAAGTGACTAAATTACAGCCAATCAGAACATATTCAATATTTATACAAATATACGTGAAATTATTTCACTGTGGGTGAGGCTACAAATGCAATGCGACAACATAGCAACGTGGCTTCAGAAAACTTGCATATAGACTATTTCTGTGAGACATTTTTGTCCATTCTGGAGCTTGACAATACAAATCACTAACTACTTTTTCATAGGGAAAATATCAACTCAAATATTCTGCTTAATGGTGTATGCACAACAAAAAGCAAAGTGAATATTCGCATTGGGATACTAGCGATTACTTGTGGGATGTTTTTCGCATCACTCGCGCGTATAAAATCATTGCACTTGACTATCCTCCGTTTTCTAATATAACCAACAGTGTCAATAAGCTCTTCACCGACTGGCTGGCGTGACAATGCTTCATGCGAATTTCCCGCTCGAGTTCAAATGTTCAACTTTCGTGAAAGACGCGATTGAGGTGAATAATGTGCATTCGTTGCAATCGCATCACTCAATTTGCATCGCCCCACGCAAATTTGGGTCTATTCGTGCCTTTGTATGTAATCTGTATGTAATCTGCAAATAATTGAATTCGCTTTTGGTGTGCACACACCATCACTTTCTTTTGTGTATAACAAAGTGAATGTTGAGTGAATGACATTCATTAGAATAAATACTAGGAAATAGTTAATTTAAATTAAAATATGAAAATTATTTATAACTTAAGTTAATAATTTTACAAATAATATGTTTTAATGAATTTGTAAATGAAATGAAATTTGAGCAATTTCATTAATTACATTTAAATAAAATTACTAAATTTAATAGATGAATAAATTAAATGTAAAATAATAAAAAAAGAATGCTTTAGAATAAATAAGATAAAAAGTTACTGCAAGTGCTCCAACTCACTTTTGTGCTTATTTTGTTAGGATGTAACCTTATAAGACTGCTTACTAGCTTTTGGAACTTCTGTCAAGTCGCACATATGAGGCTAAACTGAAAAGAGACAGTCTGCTTTGAAACGAGAATTTCTGACAATGTAAAACTAAGTTTGATGTACGACAATGAGAAAAGAAAAGAAGATAAATGTGAGGAAGGGTAAAAGGAGGGTAGACTGTGGAATATGTAAGATGGTTGATTCATGTTGTTGTTTCATTAAGGTCAACCCTTGAGCTACTAGCTGCTCAAACCCAAACATGACAACTGACCCATATGGAAAGCCCTTCAGGACTGTTCTGGGCTACTTGTGTGAAGCAAAAAGACTGACAGCTATTTTTAAGTGCAGCCGTACGTTATCATCCCATCTTCCCTGCGGCCTGCTGCCATCTCAGATCATTTTTGTTTACGATCGTCTAAACAAATGACTTTTGTCAAAGCGGAAAAAAAGAAGGACTTGCTCCGATGCACAAAAAAAGAAAACTGGTTTTCGGATTGCTACATTCTGACAGCTCAAAAGCCTCTCTCTTTTTTTGCTCCGTTCCATCAGAATTCATGCGTTTGTGTTATCCCAACTACACACACTGCAGAATCTTTGTTCTCCTCCGGCTCTTCATCATCAAGCGCCTGCGTCATCGCTGACCATGAAGTTGAGACAACACTGCTCTCCACGCTAAGCCGCCAATATTAATCCCTCAGAGCGAGGACGGCACGAAAGCCGGCTAACGCGGCAGAGCAGGCCTCACTGCTGCGGGACCAGCATAAAACATCCCAAACTACTGATGTGTGTGTCACTTAGAGGATGAATGTAAGGAAAAGAGTGTGTATATTTCTGCCGGTGTTGCGTAATTAACCCTGAAAGCACAATGAAGACAGATGTGGTGAGAAAGTTCATTGACAGTGTTAGGGTTGCCAGCGGTTTAGCCTCAGTCTCATATGGTATGCCCACAGACCGTCTGCTCTAGATCACACCCAAAAATGTCAAAGGCTGGCTGTAATCGGCAACTCCAAATGGAGATGCAAAGTTTTTGCATCAGTCTGCTGGCGAGCAAAGCCATGGTTAAAAGTTCCCAGGCTCCTATAGGAATAAATTGTCGCTGGTTTTGCCAAAAGTTTTAAAGTTTTGAAAGAAACTCAGTTGCAAGAAAACTATGTTCTGCTTTGCCCTCAGGTATTTTACACATACAAACTGTGGTTAGTTATTTTACATTATATTTTTATATATAAACTAAAAATATAAAAAAAGAAATATACTGTAGGTGCATCTATTTATTATATATATATATATATATATATATATACACACATATATATACACGTACATATATGCATATACATACATATATATATAAATTTAAAAAACAAAGAATATAAAAAGTAATAATTATATCATTACATAAATGTATTATTTAAAAGGTTTCCGACTGTCGATATTCAAAACTCTAGCTACCAGCTATAAATAAATAAATAAATACTAATAAAAATAAAAATGTATTGGAAATATATTTTAAAATCCATATATCACTTTTTCATTTTTTTTGAAGTATTCTCTTAATTTAGAGACCCTAAAGAGAATACGTGTCCTGATGGTCTCTGCTAGAGTGTTACAGACTCAACAAACAGCCAGCGTGTGTGTGTGTGTGTGTGTGTGTGTCTCAGGGTGCCTCCCTGCTAAATTCAACACCATAAATTTATAAATACATAATAAATCAGCACCAAAAACATGCATCATGTCCTAAAGTTTAGCTCTGTCAATCCACTACAAATATTCTCTTAAATCTGCCTTTGAGTGCTACCACAAGAGTGTTTTGTGTACCAATCAGATCGCTAAGAGAAACACTTGTAAATCAATTCCACTCAGAGAAAGCATTTTGCTGGACAACTTGTGGATAAAGACGCTCATTTTAAAGGGGTCATATGATGCGATTTCAAGTTTTCCTTTCTCTTTGGAGTGTTACAAGCTGTTCGTGAATAGATAAGATCCCTAAAGTTGCAAAGACTAAAGTCTCAAATCCAAAGAGATATTCTTTATAAAAAGTTAAGACTCGTCCACGCCCTCCTAAAACGCCCCCACATGTCTACGTCACTGTGTGGGAAGATTTGCATAACACCACCCTAATGTATACGCAAAGAAAGAAGGCGTAACTTTGATTCTCGCTGTACTATTCTTGCCGCCACCGCCATGCCGTGGAGACGCTGTGTGTTTCGTTGTGAAAGCGAAACTACTTTGTTTGGTCTTCCAAAAGAGGACACAACTAGACATCAGTGGTTAAGTTGTATTCACAACACTGTTCCAGAACAGTTCAAACCAAATATTCAGATGTGTGCTGCGCATTTTACGGAGGACGAGGACTGTTTCCTGGGAGAGTAGCCTACAATGCTGGTGTTCCGGTGAATTTAGTTCCCGTTTCCCCTTCGGCGCGCATGCTGACCCGGTGCTTGTTGTTTGTCATTTCTCCGATCCCAAATGCAGACATGGTTTTATGTTTACGCGGCACGATACGCAACACATAAAAAGACAGTATAAGTCATTATAATCAGTAATTATGTCCCCACTGGATGCAACAAATGCCTTGTTTGTGATGGGTTTTATTGGTTTTGTCTCGTCGCGCCGGGACACGGCATCACAGTATGGTAAGTGGCATAACATTTCGTCACACGCTTAAGGAATTCAGCCAATCACAACGCACTGGATAGCTGGCCAATCAGAGCACACCTCGCTTTTCAGAGCGATAAGCTTTATAAAAATCTACGCATTTCAGAAAGGCGGGGCATAGAGGAGAAACAATAATGTACAGTATGTGGAAGATAATGTGTTTTTTTTAACCTTAAACCGCATAAACACATTTCATTACTCCACAAAATAATGTTCTTTTTTAGCAACGTCATATGACCCCTTTAATCATGACATTTCTGTGAAAACTTCTTTAGAATATTACATTTCTATGAATTCTCCTGAAGTTCTTCAGTGTGTGTGTGTGTGTGTGTGTTTGTGGACTTACGCTGGCCCCACTGTCCACTGTTCGGGTTCAGATAATTCGGGTACAACCCTTGAGGTTTGTCCAGTCGATTCAGCACCTTTCTGATGTTCATTACCTGCAACGGCAGAGAACGCATCTCTTATATCATCACGTAAAATTATTAAGCCATAGCTAAGCTCATCCAATACAGTACGCCATGGAAAATGCAGTAAACAGCCTTTTTGATGCGACCGATGTCTTCCTACAGGGGACAGGACTCATAAATCTACAGACTAGGTCACTTTCACAGTTTGTACAGCCTCATTCAGAGCTTGTAATAGTGTCATTTGTCTGTGTCTATATTGCAGGTCAGGTCAGCGGATTAATTCGGAGAGAATCCGATCTGAGAATTGCAGCGAAACGAGCATCAATATAACAGTTACGAGCAGAGGTCATCCTAGGTCACTGTTGGTCAGCTCTTCGAACAGTTCATGACCGCCGCTCCTCCAAGTTCCCTTTTAGTTCAGTGTGGTGTTTAATGCACTGCAGAGGCGTAACGCCTGAACTGCTGCTCACCTTCTCGGCAAAAACTGGTCTCCCGGAAAGCTCGCTGAGATGCATGAACTCCAAATGCAGCGTCCCATATTCGGCGAGAATACTGCTTCCTCCTGACGCCCATGGCCAGTTTCTGCCAATTCCACTGCATGGGGAAGAGGAAAGAAGAGAGAGAGATTGAGTTTACTTCAGTAACTCAGCAATCATGAGCTGTGTGTATATGCATTTTGTGTTGCTCTGAAAACCTTCAACCAGTCAAAATTGGCCATTTTGAACCAGCATCATGTATTTTGACATTTCAGAATGAAACAGAATATTATTCATATTAATATAATATTAATATTAATATAATATATAGAGAGATGTAAGGCAGGACTTGATTTTAACCATCAGACGTGATTGGATTCAGGGCTTTGATATTACTGGTGAGAATTTTAATTGACTCATATCTTTCATATACATATTTATATAAATATACACTATAGTTCAAAGGTATTGGGTGTGATTTTTTTTTTAAAGTTTGGAAAGAACAATAAATTGAAGTAATAAAGATATTTAAAATGTTACTATAGATTCCTATGTCAAATAAATGCTCTTCTTTTGAATTTTCAATTTACCCATTTAAAGACTCCTGAAAAAAAAAGTTGGATATGGAATATGGTTTCTATCACGGTTTCTACAAATATTAAGTAGAATAACTGCTTTCAACATTGATAATCAAAAATGTTTCTCGAGCATATTAGAATGATTTCTGAATGATCATATGACACTGAAGACTGGAGTAATAATGATGAAAATTCAGCTTCGCACCAAAGGAATAAATTACAATCAACAAAATATTAAAATACAAAACACATTTAAAATGTTAACAAATTTAGCAATAAAATAGTAATATTTATCTTATTTAATATCTATCTATCTATACATACACACTCACATATACACACATATACATACATACATATATACACATACATATATATATATATATATAAGGGGTGTAACGGTTCACAAAATTGACGGTTCAATTCGATACGACACAGTGGTGTCACGGTTCGGTTTGGTACGTTCGGTACGGGGGTATATTGGTTACGTCGCAATGTTGGAAATATTTCTGTTTTAAACCATGAAGGCGATGGATATCACACACAAGCAATGTGCAAACTTTGCGCAAGGGTAATGCCGGTGAACGTCTTGATCTCAGTCAATTCACTATGCAAAAAGTGAAAGTAAAAACGGAGTGACGGAGTAATGACGGAGCTTTCGGCATCTGACGCCACATATTCTCTCAGAGACGACGAGACTAATCTACTTCAACATATGCTGATAATGGTATATAGCTAGCTAACTATTTTCATTTATTCCCTTAATATTTCTAATATTACATAGTGAAAAAAATGAGAAGAAACATTTCGTGTTAAATAGGTTGTTTTTGAAAGTCGGTGCTTGAAATAAAAGCTTTTTATTTCATTGATTTTTATTGATGACTGCAGTGTTAATATTTTAGTTGTAGGCCTATAATTCATTGTATAATTGACCTGTTTTAAAATACCTTTTTTTAAAACATTTTAATTGTGGAGTAAATAGCCTAATCTTTTGTTATCTTCGCAGCACGTTGGTTATTTGTTAATTATTGCGGGGCAAATTAATTGTAATTTAATAATAAAAGTAACTTCATAATCATAATAATAATAATAATAATAATAATAGGCCTAATAAAAATAAGAATGTAACAGGCCTACATTAATTGGAAATGCCAAATATCTTAATATTGCCAACGATTGATGCTTTTGAGAATATTTCTGGCTATCGTCTATACAAGATCATCGTCTTTCGATGCACCCCAGCAAGGGGAGATTACCGCGGGGCCTTTCGCACTGCGTGCCCAGCGTGCCCGTCCACTAGACAGCACGTTGCTTGTTACGTCGTTTGGGCTGCCTTGTTGAGCGGAGTGGCAGAGAGAACATTATATTTCACACACTTTAATCTAGGGCTGCATGATAATGGTTAATCTGATAATTAGTGGTCGACCGATATATCTGTATCTATATCTTGGCATTTTTCAAATATCGGCATCAGCCGATAAGTTTTTCTGTTTGGCCGATGCGTTTGAGGCGGGACTTTTATTTTGACGGCAAGGGTTGAAGAATTTGCTCCCATTCTCCCTCTTGTTCGCTGTCGTCGTTAACAGTTCTGTCTAATACGGATAGAAGTCTGTCTAATAATCAGATAGAACGGTTAAACAAAGGAATTAAAATGTATACAAAACGTATTATAACGATTGATTTTATATTATTAGTAATAGAAAGGCAAACATTATAATACTTTGTTTGCTGTCAGCATTCCGCAAATACACATTTATATAATTTAAACAAATCTTTGAATGACTAATGAACATTTAATTTCACAAACCTTGCAAACTTAGTCAAATCCAGCTGTGAGATCTTGTGAAGTGTGCGTTTGTATCCTGCGTGATTGCGTGTGCTCTGTGTGACGGTCGGGCTGTGTGAATTTAATGCGGTAAGGAGGAGAGTTCAGCTTCACTGGAGATGCGCGATCGACAAACTCGTGATTTTAAATTGTGCTGTGCTTTATGCATTTGCCCACTGCCATATTCATGTCGTTTCCACTGTGTGCTGTATGTAAAATGAGTGTTACCTTGGCTTTATTTGAAAAATATGATTTCCAATGCACACAAACTTCCCAGAATAGTGAGTGCCCTGTTGGTTACAGTGTTTACTTCCATTTTAATGATATTTTTATTAAATATTAATTTATTTGTGAAAAATACTTTGTCATCTAAAATGTATGTTTATTTAACACATTTTTTAATCCATTTTCAAAGGATTTCAAATTTTGTAAATATTAAAATAAAAAAAATTATATCGGCTTTATATCGGCCACCCTACTTTCCAATATACCAGTATCGGCTGTCAAAAAACCAATATCGGTCGACCACTACTGATAATCACGATTCTATCAAAAGGGTAAATGCAATAACATTTCATGTGTCCTTTAACCAACCTCCACTGACTACATATACACCGACTTCATTTAAACAACTATGATAATACAAAACTCATGGTTTTGGTTAATGTTTTGTAATCAGTATTCACATTAGATTTTTCTAAGTGACAATTTGTTCGCAAATAAGACAAGCCACTCAGATTGCGCAGTAAATTTGCTCAAAAATCATTAATATACAATGATAATAACATTGCCATGCCGTTTTCAACTGATTAACATTATGAAAACTGGTAAAAACTTTAGAAACTCCTAGTATAACTTAAAATAATTCAAATTTATGTACATAAATTATGCCACAGGCAGCAAAAGCGCATTTATTCCTCAAACACAATAGATCCATTATTGAAACTCGGTGAAATTTTGATCATGGCAGATTTGGTTACACAAGCAGCACAAATGGCTTGTGAAAAAACACACATTGGCTGTATGGCACTTTTATGTAAGCAGAAATCGCTGTGGAGAATTGCGTGTGCTCTGTGTGACGGTCGGGCTGTGTGAATTTAATGCGGTAAGGAGGAGAGTTCAGCTTCACTGGAGATGCGCGATCGACAAACTCGTGATTTTAAATTGTGCTGTGCTTTATGCATTTGCCCACTGCCATATTCATGTCGTTTCCACTGTGTGCTGTATGTAAAATGAGTGTTACCTTGGCTTTATTTGAAAAATATGATTTCCAATGCACACAAACTTCCCAGAATAGTGAGTGCCCTGTTGGTTACAGTGTTTACTTCCATTTTAATGATATTTTTATTAAATATTAATTTATTTGTGAAAAATACTTTGTCATCTAAAATGTATGTTTATTTAACACATTTTTTAATCCATTTTCAAAGGATTTCAAATTTTGTAAATATTAAAATAAAAAAAATTATATCGGCTTTATATCGGCCACCCTACTTTCCAATATACCAGTATCGGCTGTCAAAAAACCAATATCGGTCGACCACTACTGATAATCACGATTCTATCAAAAGGGTAAATGCAATAACATTTCATGTGTCCTTTAACCAACCTCCACTGACTACATATACACCGACTTCATTTAAACAACTATGATAATACAAAACTCATGGTTTTGGTTAATGTTTTGTAATCAGTATTCACATTAGATTTTTCTAAGTGACAATTTGTTCGCAAATAAGACAAGCCACTCAGATTGCGCAGTAAATTTGCTCAAAAATCATTAATATACAATGATAATAACATTGCCATGCCGTTTTCAACTGATTAACATTATGAAAACTGGTAAAAACTTTAGAAACTCCTAGTATAACTTAAAATAATTCAAATTTATGTACATAAATTATGCCACAGGCAGCAAAAGCGCATTTATTCCTCAAACACAATAGATCCATTATTGAAACTCGGTGAAATTTTGATCATGGCAGATTTGGTTACACAAGCAGCACAAATGGCTTGTGAAAAAACACACATTGGCTGTATGGCACTTTTATGTAAGCAGAAATCGCTGTGGAGAGATCGCTAAACTCCAGCACATGTATGTTTTCTTATCATCAGCGCTTGTTCCGCCATCAATCAGCGCACACAGGGTTGCCAGATTGCAGATAACTAAAACACCGGGAAGAAAGTGTATCCTTAAAGGAGAAAAGCTGTTTTGGGGACTTAATCTCTTCACATCTGGCAACTACAAGCATGAACGCTAGTGAAGACTTGTTAGCAATGCAAGATAAAAACACATTTTCAGGATAAATAACGAGCCGGCCAATATCGTGACGATTGTTTTTAATTAATCAAGAAAGGTGGATATCGTTATCGAGATTGAAATTCGATTAATCGTGCAGCCCTACTTTAAGCTGTTTTATTTTCCAAATGTAATAGGACTAGTCCAATGAATCATATCGTTCGGTTTGTAATGCGTACCAAACCGAAAGCCTCGTACCGAACAGTTCAATATGAATATGTGTATCGTTACACCCCTAATATATATATATATATAT